ACACCTCAGCAAAGAATGTAATCATACGACGAACTTGCAGTCGAGCATTGAAAACAATGACACTCCTTCAGTTATTACCACCCTTTGATTGACACAGCTAAGTATGAAGCCTATGGCTCAGACTGATATAGCTCGATGGACCTGACGCTAAAAACGTTGGATGGCCAAGCCTAGAATGGCATAGCCTCAAGGATCTGGCGCTTTGAGGGGTGGATGGCCTAGCCCATGGCCTAAAGTGACAGTGTTGTAGGCCTCGCTCGCTGGGATGACAACCACCACCACTACAACTCTCGGACTCTTCGAATTAGAGTATAAGATAAGATAGCCTGTAAAGGTCTTGCACGCCTGGCGCTTTAGGCCGCAGGTGGCCTGGCCTATGACCAAGAATGGCATAACATCGTAGGCCCGCGCGTTGGGGGTGACAGCCACGACCACGACTGCACCCCCAGCTTTTGATCTCTTCGAATTAAAGTATTAGATATTCTAGTAAATTATATGAAATATCAGATTCATGAGTCTAATTTCTTATCACGATCAAATTCTGAAAATGCTGGGACTGAGTGACTATTATAGAGGGGAAGGGATAAAAAAAAAGTTGGAATCAGGAGTGAGAAAGGAGAGGGAGTGAAAACCAATGATATTATATTATTTTCTGTTTCAGTCTTCAACTCGATCTTAGCTTGTGTATGCTGAGAGAGTGGACAATTCTTTTATCTCTCCAAACGTACATTTACTTTCTCTTTAGTATGCAGGCTTTAAGTTTTTAAATTTTTTTAAACCTTGCCCTAGGGTATATTACCACTTTGCTAAAGGTGAACCCGAAATGAATTTCTTTTACATGGACGTTGCTTGAATCTAGGGATGTGCAGATCTTTCGGCAACCGTTGGTATGGCACCGTCTACAGGTTTGCTATCTGCCGGTGCCATAGTGCAAGCAAGCCCAATTGGAACGAAGACGAACCGAATTACTCACAGAGATGACATCGAGTGGTCGGCACAATCCCACGACCTCGGTCTACTTGACTTTTACGTATAGGGATACAGCAAGAATTAACCCTCCAGTGCATGCCAGATATTGCAGAACTCAAGAGAACGAGTCAACGGGCAGTCGTTTTCCACTATAAGAAACATTTTGGAGTTTCTCTACGACTATGTTTTCGTTTCGTGGATGCCCATAATAATAAAGCTATGGCAATTAAACATGGTAAACGTTTTTGAAACAACCTTATACAACATAACAACGTAAGACGAACTTACCCAAAGCCGGACGAGAGAGGAAGACACCCGAGGAAGCTCTACGAAATCTTCTCGGAATCCCAAGCGCTTTTAAACCCTTCCTTGCCACTCCCCCCGCACACCCATTCCCCCCACCCCCGCCTGATCTCAAGGACACGACCTTGTCTCTCCCCCTTTCCTTGTGAGATATACATCAGCCTTCCGGCCGTCTTCTAACCGCCTTCCAAACGTGTTCCACATTAATCTCCCGGTGGAACAGGAAAGACCCTCCTGCACGATGCACTAATCCACATCGTGAGGGAAGGAGAAATCGTATCGCCTATAATATGGACTGGAACTGCGGCAATTTTGCTGGAGGGAAGAACTGCCCGTTCCCACTTTCAATTTCCAGCGCTGATTGTTGAAAATTTAACTTGAAATGCCCGTCCCCAAGGCCAGGAAGCAAATGAATTGAGGTCTTGCAGGCTCTTTATATGGCCTGAAACACCCATGGCTCCTTCCTACGCCATCAACGCCCTCGACAGGACGTTTCGCGACTTTATGAATAGCAATTTCGGCGGGAAACTCCTGGTTCTTTATCGGAATTTCGGACAGGTTCTTCACGTCGGCAAGATGTGCTTGGCTGAAATGTAGCTCTCTTTGGCCACTATTCAAGATACTGGAACTACCAATGAACATGAGAGCGGAACGGGAGCAGGAGTTCTCAGAGTGGCTATTGTTTCTCGGAGAAGGCCGTCTCCGAATTTGAATTACCGACGGTTACACATCTCATTTATGTCGCTTTTCGACTAAAACTCGTGGAACTACGACATCTCCGTTAGTATAGAGACGGGCTCGAGTCAATGGCTCCGTGGTAGTGTATTGGGCTTCTGTGACTGGGGGTCACGGTTCGAAACCTCGGCTGAGTTCCACATTTTTCTTTCCCAGTCTCTGCCCCTGCGTACTTTGGATCGGAGAACCTCCTAGCACAAACCATTGCCATCTACGCATGCGGAACGTTATATAACTCCAGTGGTGAAAGTCGAACCTAGAGTGGGACGCTGAACTTCCTTTTACGCCGAAGCCGCGTGACCTAAGCGATGCATGCGAGAGAGCAGCCGATGTTATACCAGGGAGTGCGGTTCGAGGCGGGTATGCTCCATAAAATAGTGGGAAAAAAAAACATGCTCCACGGTTCCTCCATCTGGAATGCCACCTCATAAGTTAATGAGTGCCACCTCAATGAATGAATGCCACCTCAAATCCGTGCCGTCATCATGCTCCTTCGAAACCAAAGCACAAAACAAGGGCTACGCCCGGAAAACGTTTAATCGTCCATCGTAATAACATCGTCGACGTCGAAGCGTCGACTTGAGGTGCAAAAGGAAAAAGGAGCCCTCATACCAAGGATTAACCTGGCTCTTTCCGAGACGAACCGACCCTTCACTCCGAAGCGCCAATGGCTTTTGGTCGATCATGAATAAGGCGTAGGGTCCAGTTGAAGCTGGTAACAGCCTCTAAGCAAGGTCAAATGAGAAATGGTTCACACACAAGGAAATTTTGTAGTTTCATTTTGAATGGGTTTTTCGTTCAAATGAGATGCGAAATTCTACTAGGGAAATGAGTATATGAGCTGCTTTAAACGCGATGACGAAATCTGGCAGGAAATAAATTGCGATCGCATGCATCATCAGTTCCTCCCAATGTCTTCATGGTACTGGCTTGTTAATATATATATTTTGTTGGAGCAATATCATATATAAATTATGTATAGTATATGTAGCAAAATCATCCATACAGTCACATTATGTGATCATGCTCCCCTCATTTTTTACCTACTTTACCTAAACTTTACTAGTAATTTTGAACAGCACAAAAAGGACATTTCACAAATAAGTGGCAGCTATCCAATTCTGCATGTTTGAAAGATGTTGCAATAAGTTAAAGTTCATGAAATTATTCAAATATCCAAAATAGTAAAAACACGCACATGGAACTCAATACTCTTTCACGAGCATGAAAACTGGTTTCATGACTTCATAAGCTACTCCAAAAATAAGGAAAAGTCCAGCCTTGGTCCTTTTCACCCTGCAGATATATGATTTATTTTTGTCGAAGTGTTTGGACTTGGGTTCAAACTTTGGTTCATCCTTTGATGTGAGAAATCACCATCAGTGATTTCTCACTGATAGTGATTTCTGATCACCCAGCGGTTTCACGAGAATAGCCAAATAATTTATTGCCACCATTTGCAGCCGCATCATCTGATTCTCCAATAGCCTTCTCTATTATTATGTTAATAATACAATTAATGTCTCTAATACGTAATGGCTCCGTCGATCCTCCGGAGTTTCTTTCTTCGCCTTGAACGAATTTTCAAGAAACACGATCAATGAGCACAGACATGTGTCTCATCTCAGATCCTTTCAAAGTGGCACAAGCCTGTGGAAAAAGATCAATGCTTGGTGGTTCTTGGTGCTTCATGCCACTCGCAACCTGCAAGTACTTCATGGAAAAGCCCTCTGTGTGTTCGAATTCCATATTCACCCATTCAGGTATTTCTCCATAATCATACCAACCGTGAAGGATAACCGCCTGATCAGAAGGCCTGTCTGATAGACTGTTCACAAGGGTCAATCACAATTTATTTATTTCACCATTTTTAGCATGATATAGCTTTGATATTTCAATTCCCTGATGTCACTTGAGTCACCTGATCGACAAATCTCAAGTTTAAAAATAGTTTGGATAGTAAATTTTGGACTCAAGGAAAAGGAAAGGTCACAGAGATCGAGTGAAATGTCCACCGCCCCCCCGCCCCAACATTTTAAAATTTCAGAAGGAAAATCTTATGCTTCCTGTAGATAAATTCTTGAGAAACGTGAGCGCCAGCCAACCATTAACCGAAAGCAGCTTCGTCAGAGAAACACAACGGGATATGTAGTATTGGGAAGTCCGAGTCCCTGATAAGGAGTTGGCATTTGTTTCCTGCTTAATCTCGTCCCCTGCCTCCCTCTCGTGTCCTCGCCCTCTGATTCTCCTTCGACCATGGCCTTTCGCAATCATCGAAGCCAGTTGTTTGTCCAAACGTCCGTTTGTGCGTGTAAAACCTTGGCACCGAATTTGCATGAAGCCCTGCGTCGTTTTCAGACGGAACCTGAACTTCCTTAAACTGTGCAGACTCTCGAAGGTGGCAATTGGAATCAGGATGTAAATTGCAGCAATATTTAATATTTCTCGATGGAGAAACCGAAGCGAGAAGTATCTTATTGGTAGAGCAGTCCTTGAGTCGCGGCAGAATTCCAGGATTTGCTCATCATAAAATGGGGCAATTTCGCACCTATCCTTCCTGCCATCTGCAACCGTTGCACCATTAATTTAAAAATGCTGCCAATACTTACAATACCTTTTCCAATACCAATATCTTTCTTGCATTACCATGGACAATACGGCGCAGTGGTTGAGAACCGCTCGTGATGAGAATGTGCATGTTAATTGGTTTTTATTAGCAAATTCTGCTGAACGAATCCGGAATGCGTCACAGAAGTTGGACATGCTTTCGGCATGTATGGTACTTAAATATCATCGTACAAACAACCTGGAACAATAATTATCTTCCTAACAGCTGCAGGAATCCGAAATAAATGCCTGGCTCGGCTCTGACACCGAGTCCTCGCAACTTCCCATCGATGGAGGCCCTTCGGCTGCATTCGCCAGCGGATGCACGAAGTGCGCTCGGCTGGATCCCATGCTTCGCGTTTTTCATACGAGATATTTCTAGCTATCAGCGGATGGCCATTGGATTTTGTTCGCCAGCGGATGGCCATTGGATTCTGTTCGCCAGCGGATACTCTTCCTGTAACATCAGTCCGGTGAAGTCAGAGGATGTCGATAAAAGTCATCGCATCCTTCAACGTTCGCTTCATATCCGCCGGGTTCGCCCACCACTACTCTCAGTTTGTCTGTTTCGCGTCGAGCCAAGAAGATGCCAGGACTGAAGAAGAGGATCCCGGTGATCCGCCTCAAGAACGTCTCCAGTGGAGAGGAGATCAACGACACTCTCCATTCCTCTGTCGCCAGGGTAAGATAACTCTTGCTTCTCGTGACAACTTTTTACCTCTTGTGGTAACTTCTGCTTCATATGGTAACTCCTAATTTTTCGTCGTCACTACGCATGAGTTGTCGCCAATAATGAGAAGGTGACGAGGTGAGAAATGAATTCAGTCCTCTAAGTCACTTGCAAGATGGAATCGTCATGTGGGAAAGAATGGGAAAAGGGAAAATCTCGATGCGTTCCAGGTTCCACAGCGCGTCTGTGCCCGGCCAGAAAGAAGGGATTGTTAGATTCAGATTGCAATTGGATTGCAGGACTCGGACCATCGCCCGATCGCGTTGGATATGCAGCGTTTGAAAGGATCCGAAAAGTTGAAGAATACATCGTTTTACAACGGATGAACTATATTCACTTGGTTTACGGGATTGAATTCAGACGATCTGGATTGCAAGGGAACGCATTATTCTAATGAGTTCAACAGCAACGGGGAGATGTTCCAGACGATTATTCTGGGAGTTAAGGCGCTTTGTATCCCAAAGTAGTGGTTTAGTCGGCCGAGACTTACTAAAGGTTAAGTGAGGTGGGTGAAACCGAAACGGAATCACCTAAGAAGAGTGAAGTGAATGTGAATATATTTGAAATAAAGAGCACAATTAATGGCAAACCCTATTCTTAGGTTCTTGCCCTTGTGCTTGAAGCGAGAACCAACGAGAAGTCTCGCTATTCCCTTTTCATCACACATTTAGCTCTTTCTTCCCCTCTCTTCCAGTACATTGCATTAATTTCACTTTTTTATGCCAAAAAATTGAGACACGCATTGTAGCTTCCGACCGAGCAGCCTCAGAAAACGTCCTCTAACATGACCACTCCATAAACAGGCAACAGAATGCGGTGGAAAGGCGTGCTTGGGTTCCCTCATGGCCATGAACGGCCCCAGAGCCATGACCGGCCACATGGCAATGCATCCACCAGCAGAACCGAAAGACTACTCCAAGAGCAACGAGGGCCAGAGAGAACCAGAAAAAGTCCTCCGACTCGCCAGGGAATTCATCGACTCCTTCTACAACAGCATCGGAAAGTGAGCAACCCACCAGCACACTCCCAATTTGTTTGAGCAGGTCAATGTAGAAGCACATCGTTTACTTTGGGCATAATAGCCAGAATTTCTAAGGGCTTTTCGCAAAATCTCTCCTTCCCCTCCCTCCATCATCCGTCTCTCTGAATAAGTAAAAAATTCATGGACGTCCTTTTAAAGGCAAATACCTGTTGCGCAGTCCGTCTCGTTCAGTTGCAATGAATGAAGTAGAGCTATCAGCACTTCGGAGCACGGAGGAAGCACTGCAACAATGCTTGTTGACGTGGGAAAGTAATTCGAAGTGTCCATCTAAATTTCTTGCACTTACGTGTAGGCATTCCGCTCTATACGAATTGCGTCACCCGCAAACCCTCCACAACTATTAGGTTCGATACGGAGGATCACACGGATCGCTGGGCGGCGATCGAGGCGGATGTCATGGAGAGAGGCACCTACGACCTCACCGGGGAGGAGCTCGTCTATGGGGCCAAGCTGGCCTGGAGGAACTCGCAACGATGCATTGGTCGCATTCAGTGGACTCGACTGCAGGTCCGCCCTCTCTTGCATCATATAATATTCACTTCTTTTCTTTAAATGGCGTTTCTCTTAACGTGGGAATGGGAACATGATAAATATTTCCAGGTTCAATAATTATCATGTGGGAGAATTTTTTATGGATTCATTTCGCTATGAAATGGAAAATAGGTGGAAAAGTGAGCTATTGAGCTATTCCAGGACTCGTGGACATGGTAAGACCATTCCTGCTTTAAATGCATTCAGAAACACCTGTTCGGGCTGTCCTGCTACAGAGGATTCTCAGTGAAAAGTGCTATATATGTTAAGTGGATTTTGTTAGGTTAAGCGGGTTAAAAGTAGGTGATATCGAGGAATGTGTTGAATTTCAGTTTATCTTCGGAAAGTTAGATTTATAACGAGCAATCGTGTTTGACGTCTTTTAAAAAAGATACTAAATCGAAAAAAAATCCAGCCACTTGGGTCCAGTGCCTCGAAGAGTCTCCAATTTACTTTCTTGGCGTCACAGTCGCGAAAAGCCCTCTGATTAACAATATATTCATCTCTTCAACCTCTCTCTGACTCCGAGAGAGGCGGCTCACATCATGAAGAAACCCAGAAAAAAGGGAAACTTCTTTCCTAACATGAAAGAACCACTTCAACACGACGCCAGATCGCTGCGCGATCCAAAGAGTGTTTCCAATAATACGAGGGTGGCGCAGACTTTAAAGCAAAATGTACTTGTTCAAGCACCTCTCATGCTGTTTCTCGCCGCAGGTCTTTGATGCCAGGACGGTGACCACCGCGGACGGGATGTTCAAAGCGATCTGCAATCACATCGAATACTGCACGAACAAGGGAAACATCAGGTACTGATACTGCCACGTGCGGTTGAGATCGATCGATATCACGTGACATAAATATTTGTGGGATGCAGATCGGCGATCACCGTGTTTCCCCAGAGGACCGACGGGAAGCACGACTACAGGGTTTGGAACCAACAACTCTTCGGGTTCGCCGGATATCCCCAGCCGGATGGATCCATCCTCGGGGACCCAATCAACGTCGACTTCACCCAGGCAAGACTTTTGTCTCTTCCCTCGAGACGTTCCAAGAAGTAGGACGCATTTCGTCCATCTATGAGGATGGGCGCATGAAGGCATTACTCGGTAATTGTGGTTAATGTAAGGCAACATATAGCTGTCCGCAGGGCCGTCCATATGGAGAGGTATCGGGGACAATCTGCCCAGAGCCCTGTGTAGCAAGGGGCCTCAAGGGGGCCGCCGAGGGGTCTCCGGTTTAGTTTTGCTCTGGGCCTCTATAAATCTCTGCGCTGTCCGAGAGTTCCCTTAATTTTATATCCGTCCTAATACATGGGTTGGTGTCGGATTTCTCATCAAGGCGAAGCAAATCTGGTAAACGCCAATAATAACACAGGGCTTTCAAATAGGCAATGTTTGCCAGGCTCGCCAGAGACTTCGCTTCAATCGTTAAATTTCTATCTACATGATTCGGCGCCCATGAAAAATACGGGAGCAAAAAAATATGTTCACATAGAGGAACTCTGTGGAATATTTTGTGCTATTTCGACTACTGCAGCCCCACTTCGTTACGAACATATCCGTAAAACTCTCCCCAAATAAGTTTTTCAACCTTTCGAAGGCTCGTTAATCACTTTGCAGGTGTGCATGGAGTTGGGCTGGAAGGGGAAGGGGACCGCCTTCGATATCCTGCCAATGGTCCTGTCGGCGAACGGAGAGGATCCTGAGTATTTCGTCATTCCCGAAGAACTTGTGCTCATGGTCAACATCTCTCACCCACAGTAAGAGAGAGCGATCTTGCGACAACTCTACAAGGCAACATTTTGAGACCAACTGTAGCATTTGCCGCATAGCGGATTTTTTCGATTACAGCATCCGTGCCTTGTTGTTAAAATCAATAGTTCAAAAATTTTCGAAAAAAAATGTTTACATATTATAGTCTTTTGCAGTTGGGAATTTTTTATTTCTCAACGCTGGAACATTCATTGAGACATCCATGATCCAGCAATTTCGGAGACGCGAAAGAGACGCTTGAATTTCATAGGTTCGAGTGGTTCAAAGAACTGGGCCTGCGGTGGTACGCCCTCCCCGCCGTGGCGGGGATGCTCTTCGACTGCGGGGGGATCCAGTTCCCCGGTTCTCCCTTCTCCGGATGGTACATGGTCACGGAAGTGGGGGCAAGGGATCTCTGCGACCCGCATCGTTATAACATCCTGGCGGTACGTTCCTGTCCTCTCTCCGAGTAGATTCCATTATATATCGGCAAGGCAAAATATTGCTCCACCTTATTGCTCAATTTGAAGTTTTTTCATGAGCTTTCATCATCATCTGTGTCCTGATTGTTACGACAGGGATTCTATTTTAAGCAGCTCCATTCTATTTCTTATTAGACGTTTTAAAATTGTTCATTTGAAGAACTTTTTTTTTTTAATTCCTTTTAAGTCATACCCCTGTTGCACATGATGTTGGCCCAATGCAGGACCAACATTGGGCCGACGTACCCAATATTGGTCTGCGCTCAAAATTGCCTGATTCGGGGTTTCAATTTTTCTCCTTCCAGGAAGTGGGGAGGAGGATGGGACTGGACACTTCCACTCCATCCACTCTTTGGAAGGATCGTGCTCTTGTCGAGGTCAACGTCGCCGTCATGCACAGTTATCAGGTTCATTTTTATCTTCCATGAGCCTTGGCCAAGAAAAAACAGGAAATATCAATAAGCTAACAGGCCAACAGGAAAAACTCAACCAGCTCAGCGAAAGGAAACTTAAGAAAAGTTGCATATAGGAAAAGGGAAATGACGTGATATGAAATTCCGATGAACATGAAAAAATTTGTTTCAGTCAAGCGGAGTGACCATGATGGACCACCACGCGGCGTCGGAGTCCTTCATGAAACACCTGGAGAACGAGATGAAGAGCCGAGGCGGATGCCCATCGGACTGGATC